GTCTTGACGGGACCATCCGCAAGACCCTGCATGAACACCGAAACCAACGTGTGTTCATCCACCGGATTGGAACTTATACAACTCGTGAGATGTCGTATATGTTGAGCGTAAGCGTGCACATCACGCTTACCCTGCTTGAGCTTCAAGAGTTCGGTTCGAGCCCTGAACTCAGCTCTAGGTGGTTCAAACGTTTGTCTGAGCCGCGACTTGAAGACTTCCAACGACCCAAACGCATATGGGTCGTGCAACTTGAGCCCCAGTGCCCAAGTCTTGGCACGTCCTGCCAGATTTTATTGGGCAAATGCAACTTGCATATCCCCGTCGTCGATGCGACGCGCCCTTATGGCGTCATCCAATTCGACGAACCATCTCAAGAGGGAGTCTTCTTCGACCCCCCTATACTTGGACATATCAATCTTCAATGTCTCGGGTCGACGCGAGTGCATCGACCCACCAGCAGCAGCCTGCTGCTGTCTCAACAGCTCAAACTGTTGAGCACCCTGTTCTCTCAACAACTCTGATTGTTGAGAAACTTGTTGGTGAAGCAAGGCTACTTTCTCGCGTTCTGCGTCAAGTTCATTTTGAATGAACTTGGCGATAGTAGCATGTCGGGAATCTCTATTGAGAGCCTCTAGCATGACGCTAACAGCATGGATGCCCATGGTCGAACCCATTCGTTCAACCGCATCCCATTCGACATCGCTTAAATGGGAGTAGCCGTCACGCGTAGCGTGAAAGCTTTGGTCATCTTCATCATCCAACATATTCATGTTGGATGTGAACGCGGTCCTTGGACGGACTACGAAGTGCTACCAGGTGAAACGGGGCACCCTGAAGCTTGTACTGGTGACAGTACAAGCTACTTATTCTGATGACAGAATAAGGCGGTGCCTCGGAATTTCACGTACACTCGTACGTGCAGAGGAAGACGGTAAGAAGAAGCGAGTACTTGGTTAAAGTAAAAAGTAGAACTGTATTTATAATAGTTAATGTCTGTTAATAGACCACTATTTATCCTCATCTAACTATGTCTGAATACAAATGTGCATATCAACTATCTGCTCACCACTCATTGCGTGCGTCTGTCGTGGCGCGTCTTCGTTGGTTGATATAATGGCTTATATCAACCAGTTAGGATCTACTCGTAAGTGCTACAGAACATTTGTCCATTTGACAATATTCTGAGAATATAACTCTTATAGTTATATTCTATTAACAATTTCTTATAAATTGTTATGTAACGATTCACCCCGTTACAAGGCTGAGGTTCGCTAAGCAGAAAAAGCTGAACTTTAAAAGAGAAAGAGACAAGAAAACGCAAATTGACCGATACAATACAAAGGCGATGAGCCGCATCCAACAGAGAAATTGATTGCGGTCAGGAATGACCTGCAAGATACGAGATTTAGCTATCAAAGCACAGCTTCGATTAGCTGTAAATCCGTGTCGTAAACAAAGACATTACCTAGCCTATAAGGATGCTCTGTTTTATGCAGTGCATTCTTCTATAAATCATCTACATATAGACGTACCTCAAAGAAGAGGGAAAAAAACTTCGACATTGCAAAACAAGCACGCCTTCAGTGAAAGTGATTTCAAAAATTCTATTTAGACGCTACTCCTTAACAAGAGACTTAATGTTGCGATATACTTGGACGTGATCGCAGGCGATAAAATTTCAATGAATTTGTATCTAAAAAATGTAAAACGTTTGTGTTTGTGGCCGCAATTAATTTTGTTTGAAGCAATCCAGACAAATTAAATTGAATTTATTATCGTTTTTCTATGTATAACACATTTAGATTACTACCAGACGAGGTCAAAATTATCGTTTGGTACTCGTCGTATTTGCCTTTCGATAACTAAACTTGGTATTGCGCATTTGAAACGTTTATCCTTAATTGTTTTATTGCAAAAGGGACCTATATTGGTATCATTATCGAAAAGAATCCACCTAACAATTTGGCTTGATATAAAAGAGACAGAGCGCTTGCGCTCTACGATATCTGCGATCGAAGTGACACTATATAGAAATATCTAATAGCTATCAGAAATCTAACATTTAAAAATGTAACGGGTTGCCTCCGTCACATGATAATTTACATGTGGTGACAGTGAAGTATGAATAGTGTGCTAGGACAAACATAATATTCTCACAGTATCATTCTAATCAAAAATGTAGCTTCGCGAATTACTACACTGCTCATTGGCTGATATAGGGTTCAGATTTAAACTAATAAATGCTAGTCACGACAGGAGCACGCGATGTGCAGATAGCAACAATACAGGCTTTTTTTAGACATAGTCAAAAATGGAGTCAAATAGGGATTTATCAAAAGATCAACTATATTGAATGCAGTTCTTCTTTTTATCTGACCGAGTACCTTTACTCTGTATAGCAATCTTTCTCTGCATAAACATGTACGGTAAATAGTCGGACGTATACCTTCTTGTACTGTTAACAGTACAAGGTTTCCTAAGTTAATCGAATAAGGTGTGCCTTGTTACAAAGGTAATGTTTGAGCAAGTCAAGCACAGAATATAGTTTAGCTTTCAGTTCAATAAAGCTTTATTTCTGAGTGTGGTTTAAGTTCGTCACAGCAGCGGAATATATGAGAAGAAACTCAGATATAATTTGCTCGAATAGTTCGTCTTTATATATAGCATAATCACTCGTCGACCCACGATCTGATTGATCTGGAAAATCTGATCTAAAAACATGCAGCCAAAAAAATTACCCTACGTATTGAAGAACTACAGACATAGGCAGGATAATTTAAAAATATACTTACCTAGAGATTCCACTAAGTTATGTCGATGCTGTGGCGAACTTTTATTAATATAATTTTAACGGATTTGTTAATACATTTCTATGATGAAGTCGTCAGATTCACTCCTTCAAATATAATTCACTCCCATTTATAATCAGATTATGGAGCTATTCCTGTAACGTAAACACCCGAGACAATTAATTCTGACTAATTGATAATATGTGCAAAGCTTTTTTTATCTCATTCGTATCTTCGCCGTGGGCACTACAAGTTCCGCAATTTAAACAGCATCACCCTGTAGTCAAGCTGCCACTGCAATCATCACGGGATCGAACCATTTAAATGCGAATGGAACAGATATGACAGCGGGGATATAAGAGAAAAAATTCATTATACATTATCCTATAAATTTGCTTAACTATCGTTTGTTCGACAAAGGAGGTCACTAAGAGTCTAATTGCGAGGTAGCACAATTCACTAAAACGTGATTGAGTAAACCGATAGTAACACTCAATATGTAACACTTAATATCTAACTAAATGGTATTTATTGAGTGAGACTCGATACCGGCGTGAATCGTGGGTAAAGACTCGAGAACCGGAAATGTCCTGGCTTAAGAATGTGTATACTAACTCCAAGTATAGAGCTGATGATTCGGAAGCCTAGCGACTTCCTTTTACATTCGTGTTCGGTATGGTGCAGTGGTAAATGACAACAGAATTGTAACGAAGCACCCTGAAGCTTGTACTGGTAACAGTACAAGCTACTTATTCTGACGACAGAATAAGGCGGTGCCTCGGAACTTCACGTACACTGGTACGTGCAGAGGAAGACGGTAAGGAGAAGCGAGTACTTAGTTTGAGTGAAAAGTAGAACTGTATTTATAATAGTTAATGTCTGTTAATAGACCACTATTTATCCTCATCTAACTATGTCTGAATACAAATGTGCATATCAACTATCTGCTCACCACTCATTGCGTGCGTCTGTCGTGGCGCGTCTTCGTTGGTTGATATAATGGCTTATATCAAGCAGTTAGGATCTACTCGTAAGTGCTACAGAACATTTGTCCATTTGACAATATTCTAAGAATATAACTCTTATAGTTATATTCTATTAACAATTTCTTATAAATTGTCATGTAACGATTCACCCGTTACATCATCCCCCCCTTAACCATCGGTCTTTTTAGTGTCTGATTGACTAAATGGTTACTCGTCCCAAATCATTTGGGACAGGGTCTGCACTTGTTGGTCCGAGTACACTTCCCAACAGTTCATCGCATGGTTAACAAGCCCATGCGGTGCGCGAGCAAGGCCGCCGAGCGCGCGTCCGCACGTGTCTGTGCGGACGCCGAAGCAGAAAACATAGCAACTGATGTCTCATCGGTTGCTGAAGCGACTCAGCCTGTGTCACTTGGTGATGCTGGCGCTCGTCATGAAGACACTCGTGTCTTCACAGAGTATGAGCTCGGTGTATCATACTCTCCCGATACGGAAGATGGATCCGTATCGACGGCGATCGAATCCAAGCCGCCTGCCAATCGTGGCATGGATGATGCTATGCGTCGCAGCATCTTTGGTTCATCTGACGAATCAGATGAATCATCGCCGAAGCGAAGGCGCTCGAGGTCGCGAGACTCGGGCGCTAATAGTGGTGTCGGCTCTCCTATTGACACCACTTCACAGCGAGGTGCCAGTACTTCTGTCGGCACGTCGCAGGAAGAGCGGGACCGCAATGTCTTGCGTCTCGCTCCAGAAAAGAAGGCATGAATGCCTCCAAAATCCGTCATGGATCACTTGTCGGCGACGACGAGTGATCGTTATCGAACACGATTGTTCGATTTGTCAAGGATCCATCACCTTGACCCCAGCGCGAAAAACTATCGCGCTGAGAATGAATTCTTCATCGATGCTTTCTTTAGACATCGATGGTACAGTGGGAATCACTAGCGTGATGGTCCCTCACTACTTCAAGCGTGGAACGTTTACATCCATAACCTTGAGGATGTAGGTCGTGAAGTTTGGAACGACAAACTTATCAAAGCTCGTGATAAGTTTGAAAAGCGAACCCCGACAGGTGCACGCTATAAGCTGCATCGTCTGTCAAGGGAGAAAGGATTACCCTGCCTCTCTTGGGGAGACTCGTGCCCATGTTGTGTGAACAACTCTGCACGAGCACCTAAGGAGGCTTACCTCCTTACCAGCCCGTGGTGGCGCGTACGTGTCTCTACTGAGATGTACGAAGGGATTGACAACCTGAAATCCCTTTACGACCGTGCCGGGAAGACTTTCTCCGGCGGTCCTTCTGCGGCACAAGATGTGCCGCGTCGTACTGCTCAACCAGACCCAGTACGTCGATCATCAGTTGGGAGCGGGGCTCCCAAGAATCCCAGGACGGGGGATAGCCGCGCCACCGGACGAGATAACTCTTTCGACGTCCGTTCACATCGCGGTGGTTCAACAGCCGCTCAACCAGATAGCTCTGGCCATCGCGAGAGTCCTCTAATGGAGGTGGAGGAGGAGGAAAGACGCTCTCCACACGATCATGTGGATCGGTGTGTTCCCGAGAGCTTCTTTGATCGCGTAACGCAAGGGTTACGCGGCGATCTCGAACATGAGCGGGACAGGCGTCTTCAACTGGCGGACGCTGTCTTGAAGCATCGAGCTGAGTTTGCCTTTGCTCAGCTTGAGAACGAGAGAGCTCTGACATCTCTTCGTGACGAGCTAAGGGTAGCTCGTGGGGATATTGATCGGTCTCGGGATGAGATAACTGGCTCTTCAGACCCTTGTTGATATCCACCATCGGGAGCACAAGGCTCTCTGCGAGATGCTTGAGCGCAAGGGCGTTCTTTATCGGAAGAAGCAGCGTACTGATGGTACGGCTTAAGCCGACCAACGTAAAACGTGGGATGCGTTCGCATCTTACGTGGCAATTCGATCGTGTATGCGTTGCCTAGGCGGTGCAATACACGAAATGGGCCGATGTACTTGGGTAGTAGTTTACTGCTACCCAAGTTAGTCACTACATGCTTTGGTAGATTAACCGTAGACAGTAGGACTAAGTAACCTTTATTAAATAAAAGAGTGTTTGCCCTTCCATTCTTGTCAGCGTTTTGCTTTTGCTTATCCACCGCTTCGGCGATGGAGTCTTGCACAAAACGGACTACCGTTTTACGAGCCATTATGAACTCATCTGATGACTCGTTAGCTTTAGTGCGCTGTGAGTGCACTGCAGCAACATGAACCTTTTCTTCAGTGAGGGCTTCCGCACTCTCACTGGGATCATCTTCTTCAGTGAGGGCTTCCGCACTCTCACTGGCATCATCTTCTTCGATATCGATGTTATCAATATCGGCATCAAACGCAATGACTTCTTCGTCAGAGCGTGATGAGCGTGAACCAATTAGGTTTTTGCTCGCGCGAGTCCCTCCCTCCCTTAAACCAGAGTTACACTCTAGTAAGGTGGGTTCACGCGGATGGCGTAAGCCATTCACGTAAAACGGTGTATGTGTCGTGGACGCACGCACCGAGTTGTAAATGGCAAACTCTACCATTGGTAAAAACTCACTCCAACTTTTAAAGGAGTGTACGTATCCTCGAAGTATCTCTTCGAGGACACGATTGGCACGTTCCGTCTGACCATCTGACTCTGGATGATCAGATGTAGACATCTTCAAGCGCGTTCCGAGTGATTTGAACACGGAACGCCAGAAATCAGCAGTGAATCGTGGATCTCTGTCTGATACGAGTTCACGGGGCAACCCATGAAGTCGGAAGATGGTGTCAATAAAGACACAAGCACAGCCACTTGCCGTGATTGACTCTGGTACAGCCACAAGGTGTACCATTTTGCTGAATCTGTCAACAATAACGAGAATACCCGTATTCCCGCGTGCGTCTTTGGGTAACCCGAAGACGAAATCCATTGAGATGGATTCCCAGCACTCAGCCGGAACCGGTAGAGGCTGTAAAGGTGCACGCAGTGAAGGACTTGACTTCACTCGTTGGCAGACTTCGCATGCGCGAACATACTTTCGCACAAACTGATACTGGCGGGGCCAGTAAAAGTCTCGACTCACCGTGAGATATGTTTTCTCTCGGCCACAATGTCCTCCTATAGGAGCATCGTGATACTCGAACATGATCCGCAAACGCAGATCAGTATCATCTGGAATGACAACACGTGGTGTGTCACCAGAAACGGCTGTATAATACAGTAAACCGTCGCGAGTAGTGTATTGATCTGATGCAGATCGATACGCAGACGACAATCGTTTCAACGATTCTCGGGATGGTTGGGAGAGATGTGTCAACAACTTCACAATCTCAACATCTGGGCGCACGCCTGTCTCACATCATCATGTAACGTTGAAAATAGTATTGAGGACGTCATAACCGCAACAGTGGCTGTCTCATTGTTGGGTTTCACGACTGGTTCAAAGTCGGTCCGACGTGAGAGTGCACCAGCGACGACATTAAGTCGTCCTAGTTTGTACTCGACCGTAAAGTTGTATTCTGCAAAGAATGACAACCACCGCGCCATTCGTTGTGAAAGGTGCGGGCTGTTTACTGCCGTGCGTAATGACGCATGGTCAGTGTAAACAATGAAGGGTCTATCTCCTAATAGATAGACTCTGAACTTCGCGAGTGCATACTTCATGGCAAGGAGTTCCTTGTCATGCACTGGATAGTTCCGCTCAGCTGGTTGCAGCTGACGCGACTGATAGCAGACGACGCGTTCAACGCCTTCAAGATCGTACTGCATTAATGCACAGCCGATTGCGAAATCGCTGGCATCACAGACCACATGAAATGGCCCGTCCTGATCGGCTATTGCTAGGACTGGGGATTGTATTAAGCTTTGCTTGATACCCTCAAAGGAGCGTTGACATTCAGCGTTCCATAACCACCTCTCGTTCTTTTTCAACAAACGAGAGAGGTGCACAGTCATCTCGGCGTAATTGCGTGAATACTTATGCAAATACGCCGCTAGCCCAAGGAATTATCGAAGACCTTTGACATCAACCGGCACAGGCCAGTCGGTGATCGCCTTGATCTTTTCGGGATCAGGACGTACACCGTTCTTACCAACGATGCACCCAAGAAGTGGTATTTCGCTTGCTGCAAATATGCACTTCTTGAGGTTAGCATACAATTGATGCTTTCGCATGATTGTAAGAACTTGTCGGACGTGGTACTTGTGAACCTCAACGTCCGACTTTCCATCCATAGCTCGACTATGGATGAATACGTCATCGAAATAACTCGGCGCGAATTCTCGTACTGGCCTCAACAGATGTGATACACACCTGTTGAACGTGGCAGGGGCATTACTGAGCCCTTGTGGCATTACTAGCCATTCCCAGAGCATGCCGCTAGGCGTGCTAACTGCGGTATAGGGTATATCCCTTTCCCGCATAAGGATTTGGTAGAAGCCATCCATCAAATCCATGGACGAAAAGATGGTACTCTTTGACATACCATCAATGATTACGTCCTTCCTCGGTATCGGCGTCTGAGCCGGTACCGTTGCAGCGTTCAATTTGTTAAACGCGTGCACTATCCGCCATCCTCCTGTTGCTTTTCGCACACAGAAGGTCGGAGAGCTATGTGGGGAAGTTGATTCCCTCACATGGCCCGCTGCTAAACGATCGGCAAAGAACTTGTCGATCGCAAGTACTTGTTCACGAGGCAGTGGCCACTGCTTCATGACACAGTACTTCGAGCCTGGTTTAAGCTCGACCTCGTGTCGAATACCTTTATCCTTCGGTAACTCGCACGGAACAGTTTCAGGGAATACATCCTTGAATTCAACCAAATCTTCATAGAGAGGATTTTTCTTGAGCGATTCCCACGATTGGGAGTCATATCGCTCAACTCGTGTCTTTTCATCGAGGACACTCTCGTTCTTCGATGAACTACTGAGAACTCTCTCGTTCTCAGTAAACACTGTTGCTGACCTTATGTCGGCTACACACTCGTCGTCAGCGACGAGTACGCAGATCTGCTTGACTCTGCCACTACGCAGATCACGCAAGAACCTTTTATGTTCGAGCGTTGGTAACTGAGTGATCTCCGAAGTCAACTTCGGAGGCGCAATCAGATCAAGTGTATAAGCGCCTACACTTGATCCATCATTGACTATGACATTCAATGTCTCTGTCATTTCCTGGGGACTTATTCCCTCAGGTTTCGAAGGACTTATTCCTTCGGCTTCCCGGGGACTTATTCTCTCGGGTTTCGGGGAACTTATTTCCACCGTATCTGTAATATCGGGACTTATTCCCTTAACTTCCTCTAGCTGGGGTTGCGCAACCACAGCGAGATCGTCTACGAAAGACTCTCCAGTCGATCTAGGATTATCGTTTCGCTTAGCCTGAGCGATCGATTGTTTCTCTTCTAGATGTTCTTCGCTAGTGATACATCTTTTTCCCGATCCACTCTACTTATTCGGGTGGTGGAGCTTCGGCGCAGCCTTTGTTTCCTCACAGCCGCCGGAACTTTGCTCCGAAGTGTAACCGTTTGTTACACTAAGGTTTTGTGCAGTCGTACTAACGACCGTACCACAAGTGAGGCCATCGCACTCACTCGTAGTACATCCACACGCTTGTGGACGCTCCAAAACGTTCATCAGATGGCCATCTGATGAACAAGCGGCAGGCATCGTTACTGTTCGATGTTGCCAGTTTACTCGTGGTTCGTACCTTCTGAGCCACAGTATTTCAAGGATGACATCAAATGTGTCATCCAAATGCAATACGACAAAGTCATCGTCATATTGGGTATCTTCTAGCGTATAGTGGATCTTCACTATACGCTTCATGACGGTTACAGATGCGCCTGTCGCAAGACGTACCTTCATCCTCGTAGGAGGTATGTCACATTCACTGAACTTGAAGTAACCATCTTCTAGCGATTGGCGTCGCCCAAAACGGTTGGACGCCCCACAATCGACTAGAGCTCGAAGGGACAACTTATTTGTCACTTCGAGTTTCAAGGTAATGAGTGAGACCTCATTACCTAAAGCAGCAACGCACAACGTTTGTGTGTTGGGAGCAACCTTCATCAAGAGGCCCACGAATTCTCTTGACGTTGCTAGACCAGTAGGGTGCTCCGCACCTACTGATCCTGTCCGTTTTTTGACGGTCCATCCCGTTGTTGCGTCTTTGCACCAAGTGCGAACCCGCGTCCCTGCCCCTTTCTCATGGGTGGACGGTCACTACGCCCAGTGTTGCGATACACTGGACGAGGGGCACTACACTCGTAAGCGTAGTGTCCTGTCTTTTGACATCTGTTGCATTTCTGCAACTTCTTGTCGTCTGTAGAGTGATCCTTCTCGCTCTCTACATAACAGAGCTCCATCGTCTATGGACCTCCGCTGTCATATCGTCTCGGTTGACGATATGATGTCGAGCTGGCGCAAGCCTGTCTCAGACTGAAGTCTTCCTGTTCCGCAGCGGAAATGGCTTGTTCTAGTGAATCTAGTTCAAGTCGGAACAGGTGAGTCTTGACGGGACCATCCGCAAGACCCTGCATGAACACCGAAACCAACGTGTGTTTATCAACCGGGTTGGAACTTGTACAACTCGTGAGATTTCGTATATGTTGCACGTAAGCGTGCACGTCATGCTTACCTTGTTTGAGCTTCAAGAGTTCAGTTCGATCTCTGCTCTAGGCGGTTCAAACGTTTGTCTGAGCCGCGACTTGAAGACTTCTAACGACCCAAACGCATATGGGTCGTGCAACTTGAGCCCCAGTGCCCAAATCTTGGCACGTCCTGCCAGATTTTATTGGGCAAATGCAACTTGCATATCCCAGTCGTCGATGCGAAGCGCCCTTATGGCGTCGTCTAATTCGACGAGCCATCTCAAGAGGGAGTCCTCTTCGACTCCCCTATACTTGGACATATCAATCTTCAATGTCTCGGGTCGACGCGAGTGCATCGACCCACCAGCAGCAGCCTGCTGCTGTCTCAACAGCTCAAACTGTTGAGCACCCTGTTCTCTCAACAACTCTGATTGTTGAGAAACTTGTTGGTGAAGCAAGGCTACTTTCTCGCGTTCTGCGTCAAGTTCATTTTGAATGAACTTGGCGATAGTAGCATGTCGGGAATCTCTATTGAGAGCCTCTAGCATGACGCTAACAGCATGGATGCCCATGGTCGAACCCATTCGTTCAACCGCATCCCATTCGACATCGCTTAAATGGGAGTAGCCGTCACGCGTAGCGTGAAAGCTTTGGTCATCTTCATCATCCAACATATTCATGTTGGATGTGAACGCGGTCCTTGGACGGACTACGAAGTGCTACCAGGTGTAACGGGGCACCCTGAAGCTTGTAATGGTGACAGTACAAGCTACTTATTCTGATGACAGAATAAGGCGGTGCCTCGTAACTTCACGTACACTCGTACGTGCAGAGGAAGACGGTAAGGAGAAGTGAGTTCTTAGTTTAAGTGAAAAGTAGAGCTGTATTTATAATAGTTAATGTCTGTTAATAGACCACTATTTATCCTCATCTAACTATGTCTGAATACAAATGTGCATATCAACTATCTGCTCACCACTCATTGCGTGCGTCTGTCGTGGCGCGTCTTCGTTGGTTGATATAATGGCCTATATCAACCAATTAGGATCTACTCGTAAGTGCTACAGAATATTTGTCCATTTGACAATATTCTAAGAATATAACTCTTATAGTTATATTCTATTAACAATTTCTTATAAATTGTCATGTAACGATCCACCCCGTTACAAGAATAGTATGTCGGGTAGTTGGCGCAGGTTCAAGTCCCACACGGTTCAAAATTTAAAGAGTTGATATGATTTCAGTATGTGACCAAAATTGGGAGGCTTGCGGTAAACACTAAGGTGCGGAAGTGAGGTAGTTGTTACTTGACCATTGTACGAAAACGATTGTCCACAACCCAAGCCTGCCGTACGCATGCTTGGTAAATAAAACTGAAAACCTCCCATAGGAGGCGGCCAGTAGTAGTACTGTAAAGGTAACAGTCGGGTGCGTTAAGGATTGAGCATGTGATACAATCCCGGTCCCTCCAAATGGCTGTGTAACAAGTAAGCGGGGAGGTAGGAGTCGTTCATGCTTAAATGGTGACATCACAAATGAAGTAATTTTAAACAGTGTCTAATTTTAGAAATGGATGTTTCTTTAGTTCTGTCTTACAGAAACGACTTTATGACTAAACTCTGTCTTGCACAAGACCTAGTTTGTCGTCAAATAATTAAAGCCAGATGTACATGAGATGGTCGAGGCCAGGAAAGAATCAGAAAAAATGAAGTCAGCAAGCCGTCGAAGATGGAGACCTGGAACATCGACAACAGAGGGGTGGACGGTATCGACCGATACGAAACGGGGACGTCATCAGATGAATGAGGTAAAGAGGTCACGTGCGGCTCCGAGCGGCGTAGGATAAACAACGAAGCAGCAGCATCAGGTCAAACTTGTAAAAGTAGAGGTCTACAGTGATACATATGGTTATAAACAGCAGGAGGCATTAAATATTAAGAGGTGAAGCCGACGATGTTCACAAATATATTCGTGCCATACAAGAACTTTGATGAACATACAATGTTTGCTTCTCGAGTTATTTCCAGTAGTAGTACCTCCAGCTTGCCAATTTACCAGATCTAGTACCTTTCCCAATTGTAGCACTAGTACCTCTCAAAATTATGTGTGGCTTTTCGAAATTACACCACATAGTAAATGTCTGGCAACCCGTTGTAATCGCAATTCTCTATGATTTTCCGATGGCATTTGCATCTCATGCGCACACAGAGATTGGTCTACGTAGTGCTGACATTAACAAGGGTAAGCTTTAAATTAGGAACTTTTACAGGTCAAGTTTAACGTACTGTTTAGAATAGACTTGTAAAGTACCACAAGCTTATCAATAGGGAAGGCAATCAACGCTTTATGGACTTATATAGATTCTTACTAAATACGCATTATTAGATGCGCTCTTTGACTTAGAGTGAGAAAGCGCCGATAGCTGACTAATTAAAAATAACGCTGTAGTATGATTAGGGTTGCACGCATCACACATGGTAAAAGGCAAGAAGACAACAGGTCGTGATTAGATTGCGGGTTACGGACAGTTCAGACGCACGTAAGGTGTGTCTTGAAATGCAAATTTTATATCATGCAAATGTACTAATACTAACGAGCAATATAGGTTTTGTCTTACGGTTTTACAGGTCTCTTGTGTGCCTATCATGAATGCTACGGCAGCAATAAATTTAGGTGCGATCCGTTAGTGTGGTTGACCCCAGAGCGTATGAAATCCATTAAAGCTAACGCTATTGTTACAGCTATATGATTGCAGATGCAACACGCTCTGGTAGTGATGAAGATTAGCACTGTGTGACAGATACAATTCATGCTGGGTCGCGTGGTTTTATGTAGAGGCAGCATAATTGCTGATCAATCGCTTAGCACAATTAGTTAAACGCTGATCGAATGTTTTTAAGTAGACTGTCAACAAGAGGCCGGCAGCACTGTGTGCCTTATGTACTACAAGCGCTTTATTTGGCTTAGCTCGTTAGTAATTTGTTTATAAGGCTGAATCGCTTTAGGGACACGTTACACATATAATCCGTATTGTATAATTTTTTTCTCGATACTGATAAGTCCCAAGCATTGTCGACTCGCGTTATATCTTAAAGTCTTTTCTCCTTTACGTCACACTCCGAACGGAGAGAAGCAATTTGAGTTGGAGCAATGCTAGCAATAGCAACATCTATGTAATTCAGTGCTCTGTAAAACACTGTTCATGATGGGGCCTTATACACCTTTGTGACGTTCATTCGTTATACTTTAGTACTGCACAAATATCGGCAGATCTACGAAACAGGGCACGACAGCTGAGTTATTCTCATTTACTTCGCTGGCGTGTTGATGACACGTGGTATTGTTATGATTAACGCGACGGCATGCTCGACAAATGCAGCTGGATTTGGTTCAAGTCTCGCCTGCACTAGGGAAATCGTCTCTTTTGTGGGCGTCCAGCCTGTTCGTAAAACCGGGATGGGTATAACTTCGTATGCAGAAAGTATATCAGTGTTAAATGAAATCTCGATTTCATGGCAGAAAAACTTTTACGTACGTGATAACGAGTGAAACGCTTTCATACAATGAGCTTAATTTCCA